ATATCTGCCTTAATCAACACAAAATAGGTGTCATTTGAAAGCTTGGGAGTCTGGCCTTTACAATGCATGTGGCCACTTTGATTAACTCCTAAGTAGTGCTGGGTTGTTTGCGGGTAAATAGAAAAATATGTTTTCATAATTTATGAAAACATTTTTTGTGCCATATACTCTAATAAGTCAGAAACACCATACAGCTCAGATAGTTATGTCATTTGAAAGGTCTCATCGAGTAGAATAAAACAAGTATAATTTTTTGGGGCTTTGACTAAACTTTGGCATTACTTCAAATTCAAAACAACAATTTCAAAACTGTAAAGGGCTAGAGAAGGGCTACCTTGGTTCCAAAAGCTGTACCTTTTGATTACTTCATGATATCACCACAAAGTTTAATTCACATACAGCACACATGTTGGGGAACAAAACCAAAAAATAAATTTTCTCCTACCTTATTTCTTTCATGAGATATTGAACATCAAATAAGAATGATATGAAACATTTCCCTTGACCACACTAATTTTCTTACATTTTATCACCTATTTCTCAGCATGAGAATATTCAAATGCAAAGATTTTTTCTACCTTTTGACTCTCCTTGCTACGGTCCTGGAGTTATGAGTCAATATTTTTGTGTATGGCACACAGAAAACAGCCTGTTTTGTTACAAAATACTGTAACTTTTGGATACTTTATGCTATCCCCACAATTTCCCTCCTACCTTATTTCTGTCCTGAGATATTGAAGACAGATATGATATGAATCATATGATATGATATAAATAAGACAGATATGAAAAATATCTCTTGAGCAGTCAAATTTTTCTTACATTTTTATCAGCTATTTCTCAGCAGGAGAATATCCAAACTAAATCAGTTTTCTATCAAACGATACCAATGTTTTGACTCTCCTTGCTACAGTCTTTGAGTTATGAGTCATTATTTTTGTGTATGTCACTCAAAACAACAACTTCAGTGAGGCCAAAATTGCCTCAGGGCTTAAAGGGTTAATGGCAATTGGCAAACATATGAATGTTTGTAAACTGATATTTCCTACTGACACACTACAGCAAAAGATAGCAATAACTAACTTAATATAATTTTTTATCTGGTGAAAATACTAGTGTTCTAATAATTTTGGCTGAAAAAACTGAATTTTCAGCATCATTACTCCAGACTTCAGTGTCATATGATCCTTAAGAAATCATTCCAATATGCTGATTTGGCAATGTAAAATGTAACGGTGTAAAAGTCTTTACCGTCACTTTTGATTAAATGTATGCATCCTTGCTGAATAAAAAAAAATAAGTTCTTACTGGCTTCAATCTAACCTTAAACTTAGTGACCATGATATTCTTAAAAAAAACAAAAAAACTTTCAATTCAACAGAGGAAATACAGTCATACAGGCTTGGACGTAAATAACATGATTTAATTATGTAAAAGTCTTTACCGTCACTTTTGATTAAATGTATGCATCCTTGCTGAATAAAAAAAAATAAGTTCTTACTGGCTTCAATCTAACCTTAAACTTAGTGACCATGATATTCTTAAAAAAAAAAAAAAAAACTTTCAATTCAACAGAGGAAATACAGTCATACAGGCTTGGACGTAAATAACATGATTTAATTTTTTGATGAACTTTTTGATAAATCTGATCAAATCTCCTCAGTTTAATTCTTGACTTGTATCGCCATGTGCTGAATGTGGCTGCCGCTGTATACAATACATGCTCTTGTGAAGAGAAGCTTCTGTTTCAGAACACGTGGTTGGTTTCTCATATGGCCTGTATCTCAAGCGTGATCGACACAGCTTTCGTTCCTCACGCCATCAGCAAATACAAAAGTCCTGTGCGTGAAGAACTTCTCCACACTGATTTGCACAGATATCTTTTCCTATTTTAACATCTCCTGTGTGACCTTTCATGTGTCTGTAAATTGCAATTAATTTGTACATCACAGACATGCTTCATAGACCCATTCTTCTCAATAAAAATTAAATATATGGCCATCTGTCCAGGGTGTTCTTTTCTTGTGAAGACATTTTCAACCTTACCGTTTAAAATGGTTCTTTATTATAGCTGATCCTTGCCTTAATCTATTCAGTGTTAACTAAAACTAAAGTCTTAATTTTTTTGTAAACTGAAATAGAGCTATAAATATTAGATAAAAGACTAAAATCAATCAATAAATAAGTGCATGTTGTACTAAATTACTAAAACTAAAACTGAAAACTAAAGCTAAAAAACTAACAAAACTGACAAAAGCACCTAAAAATTACTAAAACTTAACCTAAAACCTAAAATTTGAACCCTTTCCAACAATGACTGTATGATTTTGAGATCCATCTTTTCAAACAAAGGGTTCAAATACACAAAAATGCTGGAAAACCAAAGAATTTTTGGGACCTGAAGGATTTTTCTGAAGTACATCAGGAAGTTTAACTGTTCAGGACAAACAAGGGACTCATGAACAACTAAATCACTAAACAACAACAAAAAACACAGCTGTGGATCATCCAGGTAACAACACAGTATTAAGAATCAAGGGAGCCTTTTGAACAAGGTCATTTTTATAAATTCAACTATTATTTTCTCTTGTGGACTATATGTAAACATATTTTATGTGAAATATCTTATTCAGGTCAATACTAAATAAATAATAACATGCATTTTGTATGATCCCTCTTATTTTGGAAAAATAATTAACATTTTACAGATGTTCCGTAAACTTTTGACCTCAACTGTAACCCTTTAAATAATAAGTTTGGCAAAATCTTGCAATTGAGGAACAGCTTTTCTACATCACATAATGTATAAAAACACATGCTTGTTCCCTCCAGGTTTTTTCAACAGTGAGTTAGAAAGTCTTCCTCTGTTCACGCACATGGGCCATGAACAGTCCACAAAGCCTGAGGGGCAAGCATTTAGTTCGCCTGGTCTCTACGGTAACATGGCTTATTTGATCTGCTTGCATGGATGCTATGATTCATGCCATGCTCCGATATCCTGATCTTGTCATACACGAGTGACGTCAGGCCTGTTAACAGCAGAACAGCATCACCCTTGTACAATGTCAAAGCAGGTCTACATTAAGCAGAGCACGCAGCAGGTCTTGCCACTTGTGATAGGAATTCTGGCTTTTTAGTGAGCCAGATCCTTCGGTTCAGCTCAGCTATATATTTTGGCTCCCCAATGGTTCTTCACGTCTGACTTTTATAATTCAAAAAATGTAAGAATGGTTTGACCTATGATTGGTGTACAGTGGGGGAAACAAGTATTTAGTCAGCCACCAATTGTGCAAGTTGTCCCACTTAAAAAGATGAGAGAGGCCTGCAATTTTCATCATAGGTATACCTCAACTATGAGAGACAAAATGAGAAAAAAAAATCCAGAAAATCACATTGTAGGATTTTTAAAGAATTTATTTGCAAATTATGGTGGAAAATAAGTATTTGGTCAATAACAAAATTTCATCTCAATACTTTGTTATATACCCTTTGAATTTATCACTTAAAGTGTATAATTTCCAGAATAACATAATTTTACATTATGTTTGGTGTAAAAACCTTAAATAATGTAAAACTATCAAGCATTATACACATTATCATTGAACATTGATTTTATATTGAACTATCCAAAAAAAATAAAAAATAAAAAAACCCCAATGCAAACACTCACACACAAGCTATATCAGTTTCCAAAAGTTCTGAAACTGATATAGCTCATCTCTTGAATTCTATTGTGATGTTTTTCCAAGGAACAAATAATAATAATTTAGGTCAGTCAGCCAGCTTTCCATTTTACCTCTCAAAGGCCAGCTGTACCAGAACCTTCACCATCACCACAAAAAAAAAAATGACGCAATATACTGATTCAATGGGGTTGCTGAGTTATTTTAGTACATTGCATAAAGGAGTAATCTCCTTTTGGTTATGATCTTGGATTCTGTGTTATTTTGTACTTTCTGAGCAAATACATTTGAGTATACTGGAACATTGTAAATAACAGTTGCATAATTCCAAAACATTCATGTTAATCTGTACATACAATTCATTCATTGTTAATACATTCAATCACTCATTCATTACTTTTTGTATGAAATAAAGTCTAGCTGCATACAGTCGTAACAAAACCCACTGTAAGCTATTTCAACAGTCCACGCCTGATGTTCACATGATTAAATTTCAAGCAAAAATCCCAAGAAAACTGATCTTTTTTTGGGGAAAACAAGCTTTGTCACAGAAATCAGTCTTGGATATGCTGCTAAGTGGAATGACCATAATGTTAATATTTTCAGTCATATGATTTCAATAAATAAGAAAAAAATAATACAACTTTTAAAAAAAATCCCTCAATAAATTATCTTTTGACTTTGAACAGGTTTTGCAAACATTAAGGGGACTAAATGTGCCCGCAAGGACAGTAACTAAATCATTAGGAAATATGAGGAAAATATGGCTTAATAAACATACAAAATAACAATTTAATGTAATATTAATATGCAAATACGTTTTTGTGATGGTTAGATTTTGAATAAGGGGATATAAAATATCCTAAGCTCAGTATACACAGTTGACATCAATGGGAAGTCACATGCAATGGGCATTTGTGTACACCTTTCAAATGAATAGAATTCTTTGCCTATGCATTTATATTTCACAACAACAAAAACAACTCTATCAACAACATCAAATCTAGTTATTAGGCTATTATTTAAAACTTTCAAAGAATTTGACGTATCTAATACAGTTTATGGGGGTCTAGCTTATGTGTGCGCACGTGAGGTCATATGCATATGATTTTTGTGCCTTTACATTCAGACTAGCAAATCACGAATCAGTTACGCATTATTCAATTACACCCCATAAAAAGGGTGTGACGTGTGTAAAACACAATAGAGCGCGTGCTCACACTAAATACCGACGTGTTCAATTGGACACAGTGATAGTGGAGGGCTGCAATAAATGCCACGCGCCGAGTGGGAGAGACTACACTGCAACTGAATCTCAACTCAGCAGCACTACGACGATCAGTAGCCTACCTGGGAACCAGTTGCAGTTCTGAAATAATATAGGCTACATCTGTTTGCTTTACGACTGTAGCTACTTTTAAATAAACAATAATAGCCTATTAATAACTTATTCTCTTTTAATTAGTCATTTTAAAGTACATTCAATGGAATACCAAAAGGCGGCAGAATTGAACGGTTTATGCAATGGCAAAATTGTCACAGAGTATCTCTGCCGTAACGGCTTTAGCGAGCTGACAGTCGATTCGAAAAAAGTGGCTGTCCAGCACAAAAACGAGATATCCCGAAAAGAGGCGGAGGATGAGTCGCGGTTACCTGCTCTGGAGGCGGCGTACACAACCATCCTGCGAGGTCTGGGAGAAAACACAGACCGGCAGGGGCTCCTCAAAACCCCGCTCCGTGCTGCAAAGGCCATGCAGTTCCTGACCAAAGGCTACCACGAGACCATCTACGGTAAGTATAGGCTATTATTGTGCAGAAAATAATTACATTATACAATTTCACCTGCTTTCTGATATTCACCTTCAAATATAGGGCTTTCAAACAACGTTTTAGTAGGAAATTACAAGTTAGTCAACATAAATCACTTTCACCGGAGGAGGTTACTATAGCAACACTTCCAGCTAGGATAGGCTACTTTTAATTTCTCTCATATTACTTTTGTTATACTCGACTGTTATTTATTTATTATGGTTTTACACAACACAAATATACCACAGAATATGAAATATACTACTTTTGTGCTGTGTATAGTATATGAGTGTATATAAGTTGTGTTGCGCAAGAGCAGTCGATTGTGCTCCCAAATCAGTTATAGATATAGATATTGACAGATAAAGTAGACCCTCTAAAAGTCACTGGATTATTGGATCATTGGGTATCTATACAAAATGTAACGTAAATATGTTATTATTTTCTAGTTTTTAATATATAGTTTCACTGTTGATTTTATTAACCCCTTCAGACCTGATCCCCCACCCCCACACCCCACCTGAGCATTTTTAGTCCTCAGTAGTTCTTAGCTCATCACCAAACTGGGTTTTTTATTTATGGGTGTGATTGTAGCCAAAATTATGATCGCATCATTCTAATCCAAGTGTTTTTCAGTGGGCTAAGTCACATAACACTAAAAATATTTACGCATGGTGTGTTTGACAATTCCACTACGTTGGTGAGGTATTGTATAAAATACTTATACGTCATTCTGGAATTGCTCAATTAGTCTGCAACAGATGCTGAAAGCACCAGCTTCAATAGTCTGATTGGTGTGAAGGACTACTTAGACTAATCACACTTTCTCCTGAACTGACCTGATTTATGAGAGGGCTTTTTAATGTATATTGTTTTCAAAGTTTGTTTTTATAAACCCTTTCATATTTTCATTTTGTGTAAACCCTATCAAAATTATTTGTTAAGTAATTAACTGTTTTTCTTATTCCACAGATGTCCTTAATGATGCCATCTTTGATGAAGACCACGAGGAGCTAGTTATTGTGAAAGATATTGACATGTTTTCACTTTGTGAACATCATCTAGTACCATTTTTTGGCAAGGTATGTCTCAGTATCTGCTGATAAAGTCAATGAAAGATGCTTTTAGCCACTCAGTTTATGTTATGCTTGATGTTGCACCGCTAGGCAAGGCGGTTTCATGGGTTGTAAGGGAATCATTGATGCATACATTTGTCTGGGCCTGGGAGAGTGTTGCTTGCTGGGAGGTCAATGGGTTCTTTTCAATGAGCTGTAGTGCATAAGAAATAAATGTTTTTATGTTAATTCATCTGTAGGTTCACATAGGATATCTGCCAAGTAAAAAGGTTGTTGGCCTCAGTAAGCTTGCGAGGTGAGTATACAACTTGCAAACACACACACACACACAGACAAAATTTAGTGTGACAGTCTCAGATGGACAGTAAAGGGCCTTGTTCTCACATCAGAGTAGGTCTGAAAAAGAGAATGTATTAGTTACAAGTGGCTGAGTTCTTCTGTTATCACAGCCCATTCACTTGAGGCTTAGATCCAAAGCCTGGCACAGTATCCTGTCCCATCTGAAAAACGCCAGACTAGCTGACTTCTGGCGCTGAGGAAATCCCCCTCAACTCCCACTTCCACTGTGGGGTGGTTGTGGGAACCATTAACATTGCAATCCTCACAAAATATCATGTGCAGCCTGGTGCTTCCTTTGCCTGAGTAAAATAAACCAGACTTCATGAGACACCATTCATCAGTCCCATTGATATCTATTACTAATTTTATCCCAGAATTGTCTGAAATGTTTACCATTTACATTTATAGTTCTATACAATATTTATTGTCATTCTTTGGGAAGGAAATAGCTACATATTGAATTGGTTGTTTGATAAGTGTTACATGTTTGGTGATTTTTTTAACTTGCGTTCTGTGAATTTTTGTCCCTCTTAGGATTGTTGAAATCTACAGTCGCAGACTTCAAGGTAACTATCACAACTGTTTTATTATTTAGATATCTAAAAAGGGAGATAGACCTATATTAATGTTCAAAAAACAGGGTAGAATTATTTATATATTTTTAAAGAAATTAATACTTTAATTCAGCAAGGGTGCATTAAATTGATCAAAAGTGACATTTGCAAATGCAAATAAATTTCCTTTATATTCATCAAAGAATCATGAAAAAGAATCATGTTTTCAATATAATTTCAATATTAAGCAGCACAACTGTTTTCAACATTGATAATAAAAAACATATTTATTGATCACTAAATCAGCATATTAGAATGATTTCTGAAGGATCTCTGCAAAATTATGCCTTCCAAACATAGGGATAAATTACATTCTGCAACTTATTAAAATAGAAAAGTTATTTTGAATTGTAATATTTACAATATCACTATTAAAATAGGTTAGAGTTTTTTTAAACATTGAAAATCTTACATACCCATAACTTTTTGAACGGTAGAATTGCTAATGTTACTTATATAATAATAGTCGTGTATAACATTTATTTTTGGCATTAGCATCTCTCAATCTCAGCCTCAGAATTTACTGTTGAATCCATGCTATACCTCACATTTGTTGTTTCTTCAGTGTTTTACTATAATTTTTTTTAATACAGTCCAAGAGCGCCTAACAAAGCAAATAGCGATGGCAATCTCTGAGGCTTTGCAGCCTGTCGGTGTGGCAGTTGTCATAGAGGCAGCGTAAGTATTTGAAAGACGAAACACAATCATTTCATTAGATTATATCCTGGTCTTCTTTTTCATAAACCCATGTTTCTTAATACAGATCAATGCGATTCGATTTCACGTAACTTTAAAGCTCAGAATACAGTACAGTCATTCAGCTGCATCTTACAGTGGCTGTCATGGTTGATGAATTATTTCTACAATAACATGCATGAAAATGTGTATTTCAAATGTTATTTGTGGCCTGAATGGACGTTTGTTGTTGCAGTCACATGTGTATGGTCATGCGTGGAGTGCAGAAGATGAACAGTCGTACTGTGACCAGTGCCATGCTGGGTGTGTTCAGAGAGGATCCAAAAGCTCGAGAAGAGTTCCTGGCCCTGACTAAAGGTGCAAAGTGATCACACTACCTTCCCTGCTCCAACTCCATCAGTGTGTTTACAGCCAAACAGGTCAATGAATATTCTCTACATTTGAAACCCTCCATGGCGCTAAGAGAATCTCACTGAGCGAGAGTTGTAGATCTTTCCACCAGCTACTGAGACTTGGCTTACTGCTGAAACTCAGGGGTCTTCACTGTTTGCATATAGAAGATGTGAATATTGAAAGATCAGTGTTACATGAACTACTAGTTTTGAGAAACTAACACCGAATGGCCAAACATTCACACAGCTGCCTTAAAACTGACATTCTACTATCTTACTTCTGATATTAACAATTACTAAATTAACATATTGCCTCAGATACTTGTCTAACCTTATGACTGTTTACAAAATGAAGATACTAGAACTTATTTGTATATAACTTTAAAAGAAATACATATTTTTGTCATATACTCTGATTAGATCATATTTAAGAGGTCATAAGCAAACATAATTAATAATGTATAGTTATGAAAGTCAATGAAAGGTTTATTGTGACATTACTGTGTGGCATAATTTATAAATGGTTAGTTTTTAACATAATATATGTACCGAATTGTATAAGAAATCAAAACAAATTTCTACTATGCCAACTGCAACAATAAAGCACCATTATGAGATGCATTTGTCTGTGTTTTTTCAATGCAAATAACTGATTTATGCTAAATGTTGTCAATTTTATTCGTCAAGAAATATTTACAGATGTAAAAATGTCTCACGTTGTAATAGGTGTCCCGGACAATTCTTAATTGAATTGATATTAAGGAAATTACATTATACAGAATCTAAGTATTGCTATGTTGTGACTTCTCACACTTAAAATATGGCAAAAAATATACATACTGTAATAAGAGCATCCATAACAGTTAAACCCGATTATACAATTATGTGGGTCCAAGAGAAATGAAATTCCAAATGATCACAAAAAAAAAAAAAAAAACGGATCTCCAGTAAACATCTGAAACAGTGTTGACAAAAAGAACAAGTGGCAGAAGAATACGAAATGGAAACAGACTATAAACATATAACTGTACACTGAACTTGTAGCTGTCTTATATTGGTATGTCACCGTCTATTCGTTTCATATTTACATTAGATTTTGTAAAAGTGAACAATGCCTTGAAAACAGTAGAGGAAATATAACTTCAAACAAGATAGATATATTCATATTTTTTTTAATTGTGGGAAGAGGTCAAATTTACAAGTCAAAGTCTAGACTTTGTTAAGACCCAATGGCTAAATAAGTAAAAAAGTGCAATAAATTGCTATGAAGAGAACTTATTTGAATGAAATGGCCTAACCACTGTCATCATGAATAAGAACATTTTCAAAACATGCTCCCCAGCAAATGTACTCAAAGGCATCTACATTGTCCAAACAGTACAAGCCACTATATTGCTCTAAGGTTGTTTAGTGAGAGAAAAATGCCACTGAATATTTTATATAAATACAGTCATAAACTTAGAGCACTCCTTTTGCACCACAAACCGCAGCAAACTAAACTCTTTTGTGAACTCAACACAATCATTCTCTCAACACTGGGAAGAGTCAACACAGACATCCACAAACATCCCCTTCTCAGCTAAAGACGAATCTCCATCAACCAATAATAAATCAAACTGAGGTCTGTTTGTAATTCTTGGTGTCAAGGACCTTCTTCCCACACATGGCACAAATTCCTATAAAAGTAGAAAAAAGAGGGGTGGTGAGAACATATAGATGTGTGACAGAAACAAAAGAGCACCTAAGCATTCCCTTGCTATCCATCTCACCTTTTTTGTAAGCACATCCCTGACAGTAATGTGAACCAGACTGATGGACAGAGCTTTTGCATATTCTGCAGGTGGCAAATCCAGACTTCCCATAAGGATCAAACCTGTCCAAATAGTAGACACATTGTTATTACATTATTATAACTTTCAAATCTAAATGTATTACAAGACTGTGATGGTGAAGCATACAATTCCATGCAACAAACCTGGCTTTTTTTGATGTCAGCATTTTATTTTCATTAAGCTTTCGACCACCACTCTCTGCAATATAACGGTTTGCAGGTTAGTATTCAGTGTTGACGAAGCATAAATACAAATATATAAAAGGGTAATAATAGACATAAAACGTTAGTTAATCTTTAAAACGATTACCTGTTGTGTTTCTAGCCCCATCTTTCCAGGTATCAGGCGTGATGACTCGCCCCAGCTTCTTCTCGCCTGCGGAGGCCATACGTAATTCACAAAAGTCCGACAGCACACACACATTTCATGTTTGATTGATCAAATTTCACGTCCGAATACACAGCATATTAATGTTTAACATAGTCGAGATATATATATAAAAAAAAACTACAAGCGACGTTTTATATTTATAGCACAGTTTTGTTGCTTCTCTCGCCGATCTTGCTAGCGAGCCAAAGAATTATTGCATACGAACTACAATATTAACGACGTCGACATATTTGTGTTAAACAAATAACCCTTTGATATACAATATGATTTATAATTTAACTACTTACACTTCTCGCAAACCATCTTCAAACGTGTCAGAAAATCTTAGCTAACACGTCTAGATAGTTCTGCTGTTGTAAAAACAACTGCTGCTAGAAACACTGCTCACGCAGTGAAGTATGACGTATGATACGTTGTCAAAATAAAAGTCCTAAGAAATCCCACTCAATATAGTTGTAGCAAAGTCTATAGTCTTTGGTTGTATTTAGCGAGAAACTAAAAATGATGTGCAGTAACAGTGGATGCTACTCCTACAAATAATAATAATAATAATGTTTAAGTTATGTTATTATTACAATCTTTTATTATGTTTTGTTTAGTTGCGAGTGATTGTTGGCGACTTCATTCTACCGGAAGCACACGGCAGTCATGTCTTGTAAATAAACTGTTCGACTTTTACATTGATTTGCAGTCTTATGGCATTCGGTTTAGAAAGGGTACGATTGTAATTTTCACATATTTAAGTGCTCGATGAATCTGGTAAAGCATTAGTTTAGGAATTTTTATTTGTAGAGATCAACTTTAAATAGGCACAACACTCCATTGGTAGGTCTTTACTTCAAAGTAAATTGAATTAATCGTTAAATTAATCACTTATTTTAGCTGTGTGCAATATTGTCCTTTGCCTTTATTTTCATAACCGGAGATTGCCAGTCTCATTATTACAGTGGTTTCCTTTCTTTGACCTTTGAAATTATTTGAAAGAACTGTTGTTTTGGAATTGTTTATTAATCTATTGATTTACTCTCATTGTTCTTTACCAGGTACCGCCATTTAACCTCCATAATGTGGGATGTTGAGATCAGGGGCATGGCATCGGCTCATGCCATTATTGCCTCCTCCATCTTCATGGCAACTGTGATGCCTGCTGTGTTTGTGGAAAACTTCTCTGTTTATGGGACCCACATGGTTTGGCTGTATTGTGTGGCTGGATCTGTTGCTGTGGTCAACATCTCAGTGTTTTGGCTTCTTGGCATCAGCCCACCAACAAAGAAGAACACGCTGAGCTACAAGGTAGAGATGGGCAGCACATTCTCCAATGGATGCAAACATAATTAATGACTTTCAGAATGTAATGAGTTTCATTTGTTATTTCTTTGACAGATCAACAGATTGTTCAAATCCTGTCTGTACTTTGTACTGTCATGCCTCTTCTTTCATACTGTGGTGGTACTATACGGAGCACCTTTGCTTGAGTAAGTATGTGTTTGTTTGTTTGTTTGTTTGTTGACCCAAAATGTAAAATACTAATGTATAAGTCATACCTCACATTGTAGGTCAGCTCTGGAGACGTTTTCTCTGGCCGTGCTGCTGTCCACACTCACTACATTGAGATGTCTCTGTATCCTGGGTCCTAACGTACAGGCTTGGATCCGGGTTTTCAGCCGAGATGGGCAAGTGCAGGATAAACGCTTTGCATTAACCACTTGAATTATTCCTTCCTCCCTTTATGGTGTGGAAGAGCTTTGGTGAGGAGTTTGTGTGGAATTGTTTCACAGATACAGTCCTCAGTGGCTGTAATCCACTAGATGGAGACCTTGTCCAACTTTGACAAATAGAATTTCACATACAAGGGATTATTGTAGGATGAACACCTTATATCTAGAATAGATGAAGCAAAAAACATTTTGAAAGGACAATTGCAATGCTCAAATCCCCATAAATGAGTAACTGGAGTTAAGTGTGGCTTAATGCTCTCGGATCAAATCCTGTTTTTTATTTTTATTGTATATAGCACCATTTAAATAATATAATCACTAAAGCATCTCTGTATGTATTATTTTAGCTTAAATTAACTTCAAACTAACTGAAGTGTTTTGAAACAAGACCACAGAATGCTTGGACTATCATTTAGTGATGTTCTAATGGTATGATAGTCAGAGATTCTGTGTGTTGTTTATACAGCTGCAGTATCTCTGCTTAAGCACTGCAGGAAATCTGTCTCTCAAATGTAAATACGAAGCGGTTTTCATCGAACATTCATAGTCCTCTTGTATACTACGTCATTGCACTCTATACCAGCCTCATGTTTAATACTCTACATACAGTGTTGTTTTTACTAATATAATATTTATATACACTACCATTCAAAAGTATGGGGTCAGTAAGATTTATGTTTTTGAAAGAAGCCTCATATGCTCGCCAAGGCTGCATGTATTTGATCGAAAAAACAGAAAAGCGGTAATGTTATTAAATATTATTTCAATTTAAAATAACCGTTTTCTATTTGGATATATTTTAAAATGTAATGGGAAATCTCACATAATCCTTCAGGTATCACTCAAATATGATGATATGGTGATCAAAAACATTTCTTCTTATTATAATAGTGTTAAAAACAGCTGTGCTGCTTACTATTTTTGTGGAAACCATGATATCTTTTTCAAGATACTTTGATGAATAGAAAGTTCAAAAGAATAGCATTTATTTAAAATCCGTTATATATTTGCAATAATATAAACATCTTTACTGTCACTTTTGGTCAATTAAATGCATCCTTGCTGAATAAAAGTCAAGATTTCTTAAAGGGGTCATCGGATGCAAAATTCACTTTTCAAGTTGTTTGAACATAAATGCATGTTGGAAGTGTGTGTACACATCCATCCTGTAATTATAAAAATCCATCCAGTGTTTGTTTTTTTTAAATCCCTATTATAAAATCCCCTTTCTCAAATCAGGCTGTTCTGAGATTCCTGTCAGAATGACGTAGTTCTGTACAGGCTCCTCCCACGATAGTTTGATTGACAGTAGCGTTTCAGCACAGACTGGACTGGTGTCTTACCTCAGACCCGCCCTGAGTGAGCTGTCATCAGTCCGCCATTGTGTTGACTCTGGTGCAGGGGAAGACAAGATGTCTCCGACTAAGCGGTTGAGGTGCTTTATTGTTGGATGAACATAGCAATCTTCATTTACTCCCGACATCTTAGCCGCTGAAGACACAGTGGATTAACGTTACTTTCGCTTTGAAGTGAATGCGCCACTCCCGATCGGCCTAAATGCATCTATGTTCGCTCGAATCATTCGTGATCCAGCCTCATTTACAAAAGAAGTGGTTATAAAGGGTTTTTTATGAATCTTTGCAAATCACCTTTCCTAATAATGCGCTAATTAGCAAGTTTCACGATGAATGCGGCTACAGTAAACAGTCTCTCTGAGAGCAGCTCGGAAGAGAGGGGCGGGGCCAGCAGAGCTCATTAACATTTAAAGCAACATGGACTATAATGGCTGGATAAAAACAGAGCTGATTTTGACATGTTTAAAAAGGTGTTTTTTACACTAACATTGAGAATTTTTAACCAAAGTATGTTATAGACTTTTAATTAAGACCGTAAAGAATCATATCAACTTGTGCAAAATGAGCATCCGATGACCCCCACTTACTGACCCCAAACATTTGAATGGTAGTGTACGTTTATATGAACACTGCTTCTTTTGATATGGTTAATTTTCTGTATTCAAGAGCAATGTTTGTATTTTGTTCATGTTCATTTGTTATCAGCAATGTTATGATGTTGAGCATGTGTGATTTTCAGGGCGATGTCAGTGTGGGACACCTCTCTTCAGATTACCACTGGCTGTAGTGTGATTGGGGCCTGGTTGGGAGCTTTCCCTATTCCTCTCGACTGGGACAGACCGTGGCAGGTTAGTGTCATTACACTATTGCAAAATTGTCCTTGTTAGTGTAATTATACATTTAAGTACTAAATATTAATTAACTACATGTACTTACTATATGGTTGGGGTTCGGTTTACTTGCATGTAATTATGCATAATTTACACATGTAACAAGGAGACCTTAAAAATGTTACCCAATATTGCAATGCAAACTGCTCTGATAAATTCCAGGCATTTCAATAGAAATATCAAATAGTAGCTAACACACATGCTTCTGGTTCATTGAGATGTGGCGCTCAGTTGGGTGATGCAGGTTTGAGTCTGGCCTATAGCACATTCCAATTAGAGGTCTGCAAGCCTGTCAGACCCCGGGCCTTTTTTTTTTTTTTTTTTTTTTTACAGATCAGGCTCGGGTCGGACTTGGGCTCATTTAGCTTCTCTCCTTTTATTGTGCCATATATGTGCAGAGCACACATAGGCTACTATATGAAATATTGTTATATTGATTATATTATAAATATTATACATAGCCTACGCAACGCACATACACACGCATTAGCATATAGGTGACAGTTGACCATGCACAGCATCATGGAGAAGTTGGAGCGTGGGGAGTTACTAAAAGTTCTCAATGCTTCGGAAAAGCTGTATTTTGGAAGAATCTTGATTTGATATACCACGGCAAACAGTGAGTCAATTGGTCATGTGCAGTACAGAATCGGCAAAACATATTCTTGCACATGACAGCAAAAAACGCACGCAATAGGCTAAAGTGTGTCGCAAAGCCCCAGCAAAAGTAATTACCTTGAATGTGTCGGGGGAAATAATGAGATATTTGAATTATTTACTAATAAATTAGTGTTTTCTGAGTCCGTGTAGCAAAGATGAAGACGACGATCCTGATCCTGGGAAATGCATCTTTACGGATTGTATAAAATCCGTAAAAAGAGTTTTTGTTTTTTATTCGAATTATTTAGTTTTAAAGTAGTAATTTTAAGCTTTCTATAAATATATTTAGCAAGTCTGTGAGGCAAGTATTCGCTGAGTTTCGGTTCATCATTGTGAAGCGCTCCTGGCCGAAATTGCAGAAAGCACATCCTGTATGTATCCTTTATTTTATAAAAGCACAACGCTTTGTTGATATTGTGAGTGCACACAGATAAAAGTAGACCCTTTACAGTTCCGAGTGATGTATTACTCTTATGAGCAATAATTATGGCATATTTTAAGTTGTTTCCAATGCAAGTGATCGCGCCGGCGCCTCCATGTCCTGCTTTAGCTCTCCGCACAAACGATTAGATATGCGTCTAATAGCGCACATTTATATTGGTAAAACATTTAAACTAACATTGTGATATGCTTGAACTGTTTTATATCTATAGATTTTATTTTAGGCAAGTCGTGATGATTTGAGAAGGCTAAAGTGATCAAACATAGGCTATGATCAACTCACTGTCTGCCGCTGGCCGCTTGGTCGTTACTTTAAAAAAACGAAAC